GGATCAATATTAATCCCACTAGTATACTTAATAAGTCAACCATAAACATATATATATATATATATATATATATATATATATATATATATATATATAAGTGAGTTACGTTGTATAATCATTGTAAAGAAAGCAAAATAAAAATGAACTCCAAAATGGTTCACAATAGCAAGCAGAGCAAATTCACGAGATACATGAAAGGCCCAATCAAGGTGTTGACCGGAGCCGGCAATTTGTGCGTACGGAGTATCACGGCGGTTGGCGGCGGCGGCGGAGGAAACATGATCAGCTACGGCAACGCCATGGGCTGCCCAACCCCACGCACACCAACTTCTACTTTTGAGGGACGACGACCTGCAAGGCACGCCGCGGCCTCCACTCGTGGAAAAGTTGAGGCGGAGCTCCGGTGCCGCTCGACAGGGTCGTTTACTCCGGTCGGCGTGGTGGTGGTGCCTCGCCGCAGCCGCACGGTTGCGTTCGGGAGGATCGATGAAGAAAAACCCTTTGATTGTTTTGGTGAAGAAAACTGCAGAGTGGGTTTGCTGGGGGATTCTTACAGTTATAACCCCAAGAGTAGAAGTTAAGCATCAATTTCAAGATAGTTTAACCTAATTGGAGCTAGCGATACTATATATATATATATATACACACACACACTGTGTATGTAATCTCTTCTGAAGAAGCGTGCTCTGTATGATTATATATTGAAACAAAAAGTTTATCAATCAATTAGCGACTCTTGGTCGATTCGTTACTTCTTGGATATTATTGCAGATCCATCAATCTATATAAGATCTATAAATAATTTTATATTACTCTTGCATTTTTATATAAATTATGAAATTACATATAATATAGTAATATTTGGTAAATTACGGGCACCCGGTCAGAGGTTAGGTCAAATTAGGAGAAAAAAATCATCTTGTTTTGGTAATTACGAATTACAACCACCTTTCAATAATAAATATTTTTTCACGTTCATCGTTATAGTGTCAAATTTAGTGAAATCTTCTAGATTATGTATAATATTCTTTCAATTATATTCGTTTTGTGTAAAAATATACTTTTTGATGCACCACAATCTGATATTTAAAAACCAAAAGACACACATCTTATGATCATTTTTTTTTCAAAATATAGAGCTCGAATGGGGTAAAATTAGTACAAGCAAAAGAATATTCGTCATAATCTAAAAGATTACACATAATTATTATTTTTCGTAAATTAATCTTATTTAAGCTACGTGGAATGTACTCCTAAAAAATTACCTACGTTTTAGAAAAAAAGGCTTATAGAAAGATATTACACAAACACATTCTTAATTTTCTTCATAAAAAAATAGAAGTAAATAATAACAAAATAAAATAAAAATGACACGATAAACTGAGTACATAAACGACGACGTATTATAAATTAAATCCATTATAAAATGAAGTTGCAAAGAAAAAGAACAATATAATTAATAATCTAAAATAAATGAAGTTGTTTCAAATTAATTAAGAGGAAATTAATTAAAGGGTTCGTGGAGTCAAAAGAATGGATGAACACCATTCAAGCGAAGAAGGCGACAAGCTGAACCCAAGTGGGCTAATTGCCTCAAAATTACTCTCCGTTAATCTTTTATTTCTGGGCTTGTCTTCTTGTGGAGAAATTGTCAGAGGCGGTGGCGCCACCTCCTGCAGCCGCGTCGTCGGCAGGAATTCCGGCGGCGCACCACCGGTGAGCCTCTGAACAACATCCCTGAAATCAACGGGATCCACCTTGTACACCTTCGGAGGGTTTGGTGCCGGCATCGGCGAAATGGGCTTCTTCGTAATCACGCTCTTGCGGACGGAGTGGAGCGAGGAGCGGTGGGCCTGCGGCGGCGGCGGCGGTTGTTGTTTCCATCTCTTCTCTTCCTGACCATGCTGATATATTTCAGAAGAAAACTGGTCGGCGGAATAAGAAGATGACGAAGAAGCTGAATTGGTAGTTGTGTATGAATTATATGACTCCATTTAATTTCTTTTTAACCTGGGTTGGAAAATTTATATGAAAATTAGATGATGATTCGTTTTTGGTGGCGCGTGCATATATATATATATATATACATACAAAGGACGGTGTAAGTATATTTTTGGTTTGTCGCGAGCGTCGGCGGGAAAGGGGAAACGGTGTGTTACGTACATTTGCGGTGCGCAAGTTTGACCCGATTAAAATAATAATAAAATAAAATTATTATTATTATTATTATTATTATTATTATTATTATTAAAATTGGTTACGTTATTAATATTATTCACTTTAATTAGTGTCCTTAATTGCCTTGAGTCACGTAAATAAATAATGTGAATTTTTATTTTTTAGATAACCCGCCGCCAGATATATTAAATTAATTTTACATATATTATAGGTCAAATTACGAGCACCCCTTAGTTATGGTTAAGTTAAATTAAACCCCTTCTTATTTGGGTAAATACAGCTACTCCTTAACTATGTATTATTTTACGAAAATATCCCTCCAAAGTTAAATTTTAGGGATGTTAATTCGGTAACAAATCAAACCGAAATTTCAGTATTTCATATTGTTTACCGAACTCAATATACGATTTAGTTCGATAAATAACGGAATTACATAAATTTTATGTAAAAATATTTAAAATGAGGGGTGGTTGTAATTACCCAAACAAAATGAGTTTTTTTTGTAATTTGATCATACATTAGGGGTTGCCGTAATTTGCCCTATATTATACATATAGTAACATTAGAATATAAAATTCAAAATTCAGCACGTGAAATTCAATTAAGAATATGTAAGCAGCCACGTAAAATTGCTGGATCAATCAAATTTTGTTATGCTTTCTCTTCTCTACGACTCTTGCTAATTACGTATACTAATTAAGGTGTTGTTATTTGATTAGGATTAAGTTTGATAGTGATGGGTTGGGTTTGGAAGAGTGGGCTTTATCCATATTCGAGTTGGATTACCACATGGTTTAGGCCCATTTCAAGGGCCCATCACAAATAATAATAATAGTAGAGCGCGAGGCGTTTTATGATTCTTCTGCTTGGGAGATACGTCGCCTAGAGATACGATAAGTGGTATGGATCTTATGACATAGAAGTAGTTTGCTTGAAAATGAAATTTGAATCAAGGAAATCTCGTTATTTAACGAAGAGATACACATTTTCTTTCGATAACTATCTCTCAACACCTAATTCCGGCGAGAGGCTCATTTTCTCCGACGGACAAAAGAGATTGTTATAAAAGAAAACTTGACTGCATGCGAAATTACGCGATCAGATAGCTAGACAATATAATTAAGTGTGTGTTGAATAATTTGGGTTTAAGATTTACAATCATTAAAAGAATCGGGCCTGAATTTAAATGAAACATATGAATAGTAAAATCAGAATGGGCTAGCCTTGACTTGGGCCGAAAATAAATTGGTGATAATTAATTTTTAAGACAAGCCAAGCCCGCTTGTCTTAAAATTAATTTAAATAAAAAAACAAAAGCAATGATCTCTCTATTTATTTATTTTGTCGATGAAGATAAATAATCAGATTATAAATTTAAAAAAAAAATAAAAAAAAATTGGGTGATTAATTAAGTGAAGTTAATTAAGCACAAATAGCAGTTGACTAATTAGGATGGTGATATCATCTAAATTCTTAAGTGTGATTAGTCCCTCTCCACCGTCACTTGCAAAATTCAATTAATGTAACTAGTTGGGCCATGGGCAGGACTAAACAGCCATCTTATTAATTACCGGCATCTATTTATTAATTCTATATTTATTTAGTTGACAAATATAATGATGGTGTGCTCAAGTGGTGACCGCCAAATCATAGTTACATCATATTACAATTAATACTTCCCTAATTATTATCTCTACTCCATCTATTTCAAATTAACTAACGTACGGTATCCTTTAGAAAAAAAAATTATTGTGTCATTTTACTTATTGATTTAGAATTTCAATGATATATAAATTATCATTTTTCAATTGTGCCCCTTATCATTCTTAATTATTCGTTGGATTTTGGGCTTAATGAATTTTATATTTTAACCCATTAGTCCAATCTCCTATGAGGCCCATGTGATCGGGCAAACTCTGAGAACCCTACAGATCATCAATCTTGACAGTTGATTCTCATTTATTTGATCCACGTGACTCGTTCGAGGTATTTGACTTCCACCTCTCACCAAATCCTGATTTTTGATCTTTCTCACTCTCTCATGGTCGAACCACCACATTGAATGCATCTTGGCATTTTCCGGTGACACAGCCGTTAGACTATGACGATGGTTGTACCGTTTAAATTCTCCGATTTAGAGACAATTTGTCTATTTCATCTATATAGTAAATCGTTTGGTGAGACAGGGATAAAATACACACACAATTTGAATCTCTTCTAAGTTTCAAGTCTCTGTTTTTTAGTGATCGAGTAAGACAAACCTCTAGAGTGAGGGAAACACAAGTAACAAAGTTCAAATTTAGTGAGGTTGAGGGTTCTAAGTGAGAGTGTTGAACAAATCGAGTGATTTTGGCCGTATCTAGAGTTTGTGGGTGAATTGTGTTTTGTGTTTGGTTATAATTGGAGCCACTGTTGATGGGTTTTGAACCAGAAAAAAGGTGACTAAGGAAATTGAGCCGTAAACAGAAAGTTAAACCCCTTCATTTATTGCCGTGGTGCTACTCATAACTTCTTTGTTTGTGTTCATTTCGTTCATATTGTTCTTTTTTTATGTGAGTATTAATATAAGTTGCAGAGTATTGGGGAAGGATCGGCAATCATGTATAATAATATATTCATTGTTTGTACACACTTTAGTCGGCAAAACTAGAATTGCCCTTAGTTTTAACAAAGAACAAATGATTGAAATATTACATTACTTGAAACTATTGCAAGTTAAACAAACAAGAAAATCTGTCTTTGCTAGCACTCAAAACTCCGACTATCATATATTAATTATTGAAAGGAAGACTTGTTCAAAATTGGCAACCCTTGCAATAATTTGCAAACCCACAACATTAACTAAGAAGATATACATTCATTAATTACTATAAACAATAGTCTTCTTTAATCAATAATTTCATGACGTACAAAGGATATCTTTCAACCCCACTAAAATTAACAATTGAAAAAGTCCACTACACATATTTACAATTATCATTTTTTATTTTGTCCTGCAAGGTGGGCCTAGCGATTGAAGCAAGTGAGTCTGTGTTAATTGACTCAGGTTCGAATCCTCTTGACAACGATCGTTAGATCGAGTCTGTCACACATTGTTAGTCGAATATAGTTTACGTCTCTTGTATGATTCGCAAGTTATTACACAATAGTATAAATTTATATACTGCACATGTACATGCGGGCGGGCTCCTTCATTAAAAAAAAATATTTTTTGCCATTTTTTCAACACATGCATGGGCTCATTCCATGTGCTATAATCCAATAAATGGCCCCCTTCACACCCCCACGTCACTTTCAAATTATTACTTTATCAAAACCCTAAATCACAATCTTACCCCATTAACAAATATTAAAATATATAATCTTTAATGAAAACCAATAGACGGATCAAATCATGCCAAATCAAATCTCACTATATATATACATTTATACGTGCAAGTTTTACCACTCCAAAATTTATTTCTCCATTTTCCTCCTTCCAAAAAAAAAAATTTAAAAATTCAAGCTGGCAGATTTTACGCATCGGAAAAAAATGAGCTCGAAAAGGGTTCGAAAGCAGAGCAAATTCATGGTATTCCTGAGACGCCCGTTTCGGGTCTTGGCCCGGGCCCGAGATTTGACCCTGAAGAGCCTGACGGGCTGCGGCGGCAACATCGCCTACGGCAACGCCATGGGCTGCCCCACGCCGCAGATACCCAGCCTCCCAAGAAGCTTCAGCACAAACGCATCCAATCCCAACAACATCAAATCCGCCGAAGAAGAGCTCAAGGACCTCCTCAGGCTCGCCTCCGTCCGCGGCATCACCGCCAAGGTCGGCCCGGAGCTCCGCCGCTCCAAGAGCTCGTTCCCTCTTGGCGCCGCCGCCGCCGACGGCGGCGTGGCGGTGGTGCCGCGGAGCAACACGGTGGGGTTCGGGAGGATCGACGAGGATAGGTCGTTCCATGATTTCGGCGAAGAGGACAAGCGGGGTTTGCTTGGTGGTGGATCTAATGAGTTTCCGAGGAGTAGAAGCCACGCCGCCGCTTCAAGAAAAGTACAGGCGTGAATGAACGAATGAATACACGATTGATTTTCGAGGGTGGAAACGGTCAAATAACGAAACGAAGAATTTGAATACATTTCTTGCATATATTGACTGTTTCCAATGTTTTCTTTTTTTTGTCTCTTTAGTTTTTGTCGTCTGTCTTAAAGGTATTACGTACTATTCATCCCTAGTGTGTGTTTGGAGGTGTAAAGTGTTTTTTCTTCTTCTTCTTTTTTTTTATTTTTTTTTTACATGCATGAACAAGTTTTGAATTTGCATCAGAAATTTCAGAACTAAATGTATGTTCATAGTTCGTTTGATTGTAATAATAAGTTGATGTAATAAATTTCGTGATTGACTCAGCACCTTGGTTATTATAATTTATATCTTGTCTACTTGGTTAATTAATTTTTGAATCTTTGATCACTTCTTGAATAATATTGCATATATTATATATATATAAACACGGAAGAATAGTGACAGTGACTTAGAAATTTAGTAATGGTTTGACAATTATTGTGACAAAATCATGGCAGGGATATAATGCAAGGTTTAATTATGTAATTAGCACTGCTATGGATTAATGTATAATTAATTAATTAACAAGCAATTGTAAAAGTAAAAAGTCAGAAATTGCAGACTTACGGTAGCAGAAATTAATATTATACATGATCTTATTACAGACAAGATGGTGACCTTATGTTATCTCTTGCTATTTGCATCGAAGATGACAAAAAAATCAAATTTAATTACCCCGGGCTTTTATTTTTATTGAAAAATAAATTAAATTAGCTCCTTATTAATTTATGCAAGTTAGTGTACCTACTGTTACTGTTACTGTTAGAGAGTGTCGACCAATTTTAATGATGAATTGGGAATTTATAACCAAAACCGCAGCTTATCCAATAAATCCGGCAGTGGTTGTTCATTTCACCTAATATGTCAAAGTTCTTGTTTATTTTATAGTTGGATTCCTTTTAATTTTGTATTATGGTTACTATTTTAAAACCATTAATCATGTATTTAGTAATTAATTGTTTGTGCCTGCATGGGTGTAGCTCAACTGGTTCCGGAGGTGGTAAGTTGGTGCAAGGTCCTATGATCGAATCCTGACAGCCGCAGTGTGGGAATTTAAACTCCAATGATAGTTGGTTCCTTAGCTTGTGGGCACCAGGTCCGGATCCGCTACATTAACGGGCCGTTGAGTTACCATGATTTACATTCCTCCATCAATCATTGTCGGGCCAAGGAATGAGGGCCCTGGGGGCGAGGGATTTCGCCTTTTGGTGCAAGTAATTAATTACTTGTTACCTATTGTAGGCTTGTACCAAGTGAACGCAGGTTTATCCAATGCAAGTTTACCTAGTGCATTTATATGATTGACTGGGTCTCGTATAATTTGAAAGTTATTATGGTTTATCCAATGCAAGTTTACCTAGTGCACTTATATAATTGTCCGGGTCTCGTATAATTTGAAAGTTATTATACGAAAATGTAGTTTGGTTACGTTACTTCATTAACACGAAAAAAAAAGTAATTAATTATTTTGGAATAAAACAAGAAATTTGCATTATATATACAGTTTTATAAAACTGAATGGAAACACATACCACAAGTGGTGCAATATAATATTACCAGCTGTAAATGAAATGCTGAGAATGTAGGTGCGTGCATATATAGTGGCTTAGTGGAACAAAAAGAACCTTTCAAAATATCCAAAAGTATTTTCTCTTTATTAAAAATAATAATAATTTTTTTTTTTTTTGACTTTATAAATATGTAAAATTAATTTAAAATAAATGATACTGTTGACTTACAAACATTATTGGACGAGCAGCCCAACTTGTTTGAGATTTGAGGTTAATTTTGATGACTTGATCTATCGAACTTCGATCTCCACTTGATTTTAATTTGTAAATTCCATGTGCATTTTTATTCTTAATTAAATAGCAAAAAACACTAATTATTAAAAAAATAAATTATATGTCAATTATTATACGATGAGAAATAATTACGATCTAGTTGTTCAAGACAAAAAATAATTTTTCGTGTTTGAGGTAATAACTGTTAGACATCGCATGAAGTAAATTAACTATTTAGTAAGACTTTGCATTTCGATTTTAAAAAAATCTTCTTTAATTTTGAAAATTGTTTTATTTATTAATTGCGATAAGTGGTAAAACCCGATGCAATCATGCAAAATCATTTTCTTGCTTAAAATTTAGACCGAAAAGCTGAAAAATCGAAAAATATCGATGAATCAAATAGTGGATCGTAACAAACAATCATATATACATTATTTTTTATAATTTTTTTTTTATATATTGAGGAAGATCAAATCATCCCTATGAACATGGAACTACTGTGTGGAATAAGTCCATAAATGGATGAAAAAAAAAAGATGAGGTGGATCGAATATTCTGATTTGACTTGTTTAACCGGTCTTCTTAACTATAATTAATTAACTATCTGGTTTGATTAATTCATTGCTGGATATGAATGTGATCTAACTGTTGATAAGTTCAATCTGAGTAAGCCAAATTTATTAATTAATTAGAATATTAATTTAATCTGATACTAATTGTGATCAATCTGCAAGAAATGGGCATGATCTGGACCTTGCTTAACATTAGTAATTAATCTAACATTAATTAATTTAAACCACCACTTGTTTTTCAAAGTAACCATAGCTTGACCTTCAACTTAGGTGGCCTACTTTTGCTGCCCTCTTTATAATTTAATAAATAAATAAATAAGTGAATGCAAAATATCTTTTCTATAATTGGTAGATCAATTTTTATTTTTTTAATTATTTTATTATTATTTTTTTATATATATTATTGTTGAGAAAATGGGCCCTTTGGACCCGAGAGTTTGTGATGTATGTGCTGACTATAACGAATCATAGTGGGGTTGAAAAATATTTACAATAAATTGTGTAGCCCATTTGTGGGGCTATTTATTTTTTTTAATTTTATTAATATTTTGGAAGAAAAAAAATTAATTTTTGATTTAATATTTTCATTTTATAATATTTCGGTTAATTTATAATTTTCGGAGTATTGAATTAGCCAAACACGCCCCCGCTCTCATTCAAAACACTAAAACCCTAAACCCCCTTTCTTGTGAAACCCTCTGCCTCTCTTCGCTTGACCTTCCTTCTCACTCACTACTCAGACAACTATGGCGGAGATTAAGCTCTCAGAGATGCGGGACCTGACCCGAATTGAACGAATTGGGGCCCATTCTCACATCCGGGGTCTCGGGCTCGACTCTGCACTTGAAGCCCGCTCCTCCTCCGAGGGTATGGTGGGCCAGACCTCCGCCCGCAAGGCCGCCGGCGTCATCGTCAAAATGGTACAAGAAGGCAAAATCGCCGGCCGCGCCGTCCTATTAGCAGGCCAGCCCGGCACAGGAAAAACCGCCATCGCCATGGGCATGGCCAAATCCATCGGCCAAGAAACCCCATTTGCAATGCTCGCCGGCAGCGAATTGTTCTCCCTCGAGATGTCGAAAACCGAAGCCCTAATGCAGGCGTTCAGGAAAGCAATTGGGGTTAGAATTAAGGAGGAGACGGAAGTTATTGAAGGCGAGGTTGTGGAGGTTCAAATCGACAGGCCGGCTGTCGCAGGGGCGGCGTCCAAGACGGGGAAATTGACATTGAAGACCACAGAGATGGAGACCGTGTACGATTTGGGTGGGAAGATGATTGAGGCTTTGGGGAAGGAGAAAGTGCAGAGTGGAGATGTGATTGCCATTGATAAGGCTTCTGGAAAAATCACGAAGCTAGGAAGGTCTTTCTCGAGGTCTAGGGATTACGATGCGATGGGCCCACAGACGAAGTTCGTGCAGTGCCCGGATGGCGAGCTGCAGAAGAGGAAAGAAGTCGTGCATTGTGTTACTCTTCATGAGATTGATGTTATCAACAGCAGGTATGAGTTTACCGTTTACTTCATTCTTAAGCGAATTCTGGAATGTTTATGAGTGTTTTGAATTGCTTGTATTGTATTCAAAATGCACGCGCAGGCTATTTTTATACTTATGCTACTTATAAGATTGCAATCTTGATTTCAATTGAAGACTATCTATCTAGTATGCAAGAAAAGAATGTTAGTAAATGATTCTAAATCTCCTTAAGTGAGGGCTGACATGTGATATCGTTTATGAAGACAATTTAATTCATTGTATTGTTAGACACTAAAAGTAATTTGCAAGTGTTTTATTAGTTACAGAATATAGCTAGTGAGTGAACATTAGGATATTAGGATATGCCATGGAGATTTGATGTGCTCATTAGCCTAACAATAGGAAACAGGGAGAACACGATTAGATAGAAGAAATCAATTACTTGCCAACAGCCTTACAAATGAAATTGGTTGGTAGACTCGTTGAAAGAATTGGCACGTGCAATGTCTGTTTTGGTTGTGGCAGTTGCCTTGCCAAGTTTCATGTCAAAACTCATTAGTCAATCATCTTTGGAAGGGACCCTTCCACAAAAGCTCTACGAAGTTTTAGGTCATTTACTCTATCCTCATTTTACTTTATGGAGGAAATTTGCATGCGTGCGAAAAGTGGTTTGCTAGAGAAAATCTTTCATTTTACATGTTCAACTACATAAGCATGAATAAAATGGAACATTGTTGTTGTAGCAATGTATGCTGATATATCCTTAAAAAGTTTATCGACAGTTGAGTTGTTTCATATTAAGCAATTTCGGCATGGATTTGCAAGGGTTAGATGAATGAATCCAATGTAAAATAGACTGTATTAAAGATACCGAGAAGGTTTGTTTTCCATACTTGTGTAGATTTTGTCATACCTTGTTAAGCTATTTTTCTGAGCCAACATAGGGTCAGGGGGGCCAAGGCCCCCACCCCTTCTCAAAATATGTGTGATTACTCTAATCTAAATAACAGCCTTCTCTCTAAATTTTCAGGACACAGGGTTTCCTAGCTCTGTTCACCGGTGACACAGGCGAAATTCGAGCCGAAGTTCGAGAACAAATCGACACAAAGGTGGCAGAGTGGAGGGAAGAAGGAAAAGCTGAAATTGTCCCTGGTGTCCTTTTCATAGACGAAGTCCACATGCTCGATATCGAGTGCTTCTCTTTCCTCAACCGCGCCTTGGAGAATGACATGGCGCCCATACTAGTCGTCGCAACAAACAGAGGGATCACCTCAATCAGGGGGACCAATTACAAGTCGCCACACGGCATCCCGATTGACTTCCTCGACCGCCTCCTCATCATCTCCACGCAGCCCTACACACCGGAGGACATCCGGAAGATTCTAGACATTAGATGCCAAGAGGAAGACGTGGAGATGTCTGAAGATGCAAAGGTATTGCTGACAAAGATTGGAGAAGACACTTCTTTGAGGTATGCGATAAATCTTATTACAGCATCTGCTTTGGCCTGCCTTAAACGGAAGGGTAGGGTTGTGGAGATGGAAGACATTAGCAGGGTTTACGAGCTTTTTTACGATGTGAAGAGGTCCACGCAGTACTTGATGGAGTATCAGAGCCAGTATATGTTCAGTGAGGTGCCAGCTGGAGAGGGTGATGAAGATGAAACCAATGCCATGGTTTCTTAAGGGGACTGTTTGCTTGCACTCGATATTCGTCTCGTCTTGATTGAATTGTTCATAATGCGGTTGGTTGTGTTTTGCGTGTTTTTAGATGTCGGCCGACGAATGTTGTGTAGCAAATTTATCTTCTAGTGGTTTTTGTAGCAGAATTTGAAGGCTTTTCTGAAAACTTGGTAGCTCCATTTATAGTACTTGATTCATCTGATTTTTATGTAATGTCTGATAAATATGCCTTACATTGTGTTTACTTGAGAAAAAACATAATAATGAGAAAAATCAGAAAATAAATATAAATAAATAGGGTAAATTACAAACCCCTGAGGTATGGTCAATTTATGAAAAAACCCCTCTTGTTTAGATAATTACATCTATCCTCTAAACTATGATGGTGTCAAATTTATCATAATCATCTAGATTTTGTGGAATGTTGCTCTAGTTTGTACTCGTTTTGTGTGTTAATACAGTTTCTGATGCACCACAATCTGATATATAAAAGTCAAAAAACACATATTATGATGATCTTGTTTCAAAATGTGAAATTCGAATGGGATAAAACGGGTACAAAAGTGATGATATTCCATATAATCTGGAAGATTCCACTAAATTTGAAGAGTTGAGGGGGTGGTTGTAATTATTCAAACAAGATGGGGGTTTTCGTAATTTGACCATACCTCAGGGGTGGTTGTAATTTACCCAAATAAATAAATAAAAAAGATTAAAAAATAAAAAAAAATTCCAATCCCACTATCTAATATTAAAACAAATACACTTGCTTTTGTGGCCTTGATATTGTTCTTAATTACAAAGTTGGTCCTCAATCTATCATTAATTTCACTTCAAAATTTTCTAACCCCATTAAATACATGGAATCGGATCCAATTATGCAAAGCGTGATTCTGATTACATTCCTTAAAAGTTATATTCATTTTCTCTATCTTAATAATTTCTTACTCATTTTACCTGCAAAAATTCCGACCACACAGATTTTTCCAGTTGGGCAATTTCTGAATACTCACAATTAGCTATGGCGAAACCTATTCTTCAGACCAAACCTTCTTCTTTTCCTAGAGACAGGATTCTATCTATTACAGCTGTGGCGGCAGCGATTCTAACATTTTTGGCAGTATGGACCTTCGCCGACCCACGCGCCACCTTTTCATCTTTGCTGTCGGCACGCAACGCCGCCGCCTGCGGCGGCGCCTCCACTAACACGAGCCAAATTTCTACGGAGAAAACATTTTACGACGACCCGGAAACTCGCTACACCATAGATAAGCCCATGATTAACTGGGATGAGAAAAGAAAACACTGGCTGAACCATAATCCAACGTTCGGGCCAAAATCGAAAAACGGCGTAATTATCGTCACCGGTTCTCAGCCGTCGGCATGCAAGAACCCACTCGGAGATCACTTGCTGCTGAGGTTTTTCAAGAACAAGATCGATTACTGCAGAATCCACGGCTACGAGATCTTCTACAACAACGCGTTTC